GAGCGTTGAGCGAATTTTGGCCAGCACGCTTTCCTACCTGCTATATATATTAGTGTTAACGTGCAACAGTCGCGCGCGACAGAGCAATGGCAGCCGGCAGCGTATGTTGGACGTAGGATTTCGACGGAATTTACAGGGAAACTGTCGGCAATAATAGGTGAAAGAGAGTAGGCCTATAAGAAACATGAAGAATTTGGTTAGTAAATAGATTTCGTATTTAGTTAGCATTATATTTTATTGAAACGCTTCAAGTGCCTGTGTCTAGTATAGGGGTATTCTAACCCTAGCAAAGAGCGGTATCTTGGAGAGCTAGTAGTAGTAGTACTTACTATAGTATTATAAGTATTAGAGTACTAGTAAAGTAGCTCTAGTACATAGTAGTAACTAGTAGAAGTATAGTAGTCAGTACATAGTAGTGAACAGGAGTCCGTCATTATTAGTAACTTACTAGTAACACAGTTTGTCATTATTAGCTCCTGGTAGTAACTAGTACTATACTAGTATGCTATGTACTTAGTAGTACTAGTAGTAGTACTTTACTAGTAATTTTGAAAATGTACTTGTAGTAATAGAAGTATTAATCGGGATAACATAGAATTGAATAATAGAAGTCATAATCGAAAACATGACAACATCACATTTTGGTCTCCCAAGATGGATACGACAAGTTAAGCGCAAGTCAAGATTGCAGGGGTTACAGCTAGACTGGTCCCACTTCACTCCGCCAAGTATTCCTTGGCTACAATGAAGCTCAGTTAGTGTAGCGTGTCGAACTGTCGAGCGGGTACCAGTCTAGCTTAGCCGCCGAAGGTGTCTAGAAAATATACGGGGAAATGCCTGACTGCAAGCCTCGTTGCAGCCATCTATCGCACGCCATATTTCTACAAATAATGTCAGAGCATGGAAACAGCAAAAATTGCTAACTCGCCTTTTCTACAAGCGAAAACAAGCTAGCGCGCCGACAGCAAACCAACAATACGACCATTTGTAGGAAATAGTCTAGCTACGTGCGTAGTGAAAAGGCTGTTGGAATCGCCAGAAACTGCGCAAATTAGTCACGAATCTTGCGTATACAGTAAACCTGGGAAGATTTTACTCCAATCGAATGCAGCGTATTTGTTTAGTGTGCCGCTACGGGCGTTTCTTTCCGGCTTCGCCGCGAGATCCGGGCTGCAATGTCTAAGCAGACGGGCGTGGAGGAGTGGTGAGCCGCGCGTTTGTGTGCGATCGTGTCGTGCGGAGACCCGCTTCGTTATTAACGCGCGCCGCGAGTGTTGTGCGTGCCCCAGCGAGCGTGCTGCGTGCACATCCACGACGCGCACCAGCACTCCTCCTCAAGAACACGCGCAAGACGTGAGCGGAAGATGTATGGATGGACGAATGATGGTTACAAAAGAGGACAGATAGGCCGACGGGGTACAAGGGGCAAGCATGCGACAAGAGAAACAGTCGGGAGATAATCATGTATATTATATAAGAGAGATATCTATAGGTAAACATGGGGATCAGTTATTATGGGGAGTAGCTCATAGTAATGATGACGTATAATATCAACTAAAAGTATGCAATTTGCTATCCTATGTCTATCTATCGTATACTATCTCATTATATTAGTCTATCTCTCGATTCTAGCTATCTATCTATCATATTCTATCTATCTATCTATTCTATCTATCTATCATCTATCTATCTATACTATCCATCATCGGTATTACTATCTATCTAGTCTATCTATACTATTTCTAATCTATACTATCTATCTATCGTATTATCTATCTATCTATCTATCTATCTATCTATCTACTATGTATTATCTATCTATGCCATCTATCTATACTATCTATCTATCTTATCTATCTATATATATAATCTATAATATATATATATATATCTAGGCTATCTAATTATTTATTATCTAATCTATCTATCTATCTAGCTAATCTATTATCTATCTTTATCTATCTATCCTATCTATCTATTCTATCTATATACTATACTACCTACTAGTCTATCTATCTAGCTAGCTATTTCATTTATCTATCTAGATAGATAGAGAGGATAGATAGATAAATAGATAGATAGATAGACAGATAGATAGATAGATAGATAGATAGTAGATAGATAGATGATAGATAGATAGCATAGATAGATAGATAGTAATAGATAATAGATACGATAGATATGAGTCGATAGAATAGATAGATAGATAGATTAGATAGATAATAGATAGATAGATAGATAGATCAGATAGTATAGATAGATAGATAAAGTAGATCAGTAGACTAGATAGATTAGATTTTGGGTATTTTTCTTTCATCACAAGTG